TAGGGGTTATGATTTTGGAGATACGACATGTATTTCATTATTATTGATTTGAATCCGAGGTTGAATCCGATATTTGTTTCCATTCAAAATGACGCATAAAACTTTATACATAGGATTTCCAGAAATCCTATAAAACACTAAAACATCAGACTATGATGTCTATTATGATTATTATGTCTGATTTACTATACAGGGTATTATGTCACGACAAGCTTACACTATCTGTATATCAAGAATCATTCTGGAGAAATTCATTAAAATATGCATGCTCATATTTTAGAATACGCTCTCTTCATTTAAAATATTGTTACGTTATTCGGGTGCAGAAGCGAACACGACACTATTTATTTCCGAACTGATTTATTTTAACTTGAGGAACACTGATTTATATCGAACTTATAACTACTATTTATGTAAAACGATTTATATCACGCGGTATATGACTGTCTCTCTGACACTCGCTGCTCCACTGACTGACGGCAGTTGTTCGGCCGTTTATATATGAGAGCCCTTGGAAGGCTTTGGTTCGAGAACGTTCTCGATTGATCTTCCGTCTCCTTCTTTTTTGTTCTAGAAGCTTCTAATAACAAAACCTCTCTCTCTAATTGTTCCATTGATTGTTTCCAGAACATTCCAGAATTTTCTGTCACGTTATTTGTCACTGCAGCACATATTGAGTGTTCGGAAATATGCTGGTGTATGTAGGAATCATTGGGAGGTTGGAGAACAATCTGGGATGCGTGTTACAGGATGATCGTTGTACTCCTGTCTCACTGATGATGTTTCTAGAGCCCCTCTGAGGGAAATATCATTACAATATTTTCAGCAATGCATTGTTGCCGCTTCTATGAAAAAGTAGCAACAACTTTGTTATTCCAAATAGAATAACCTTCATTTTTATTCTCCCTGGAGAGCTGATTTCATCGATGCATCACACTTGGGGTCTATCGGAAATGATTACAGAGATATAGGGTGTTCAAAATCGAGATTTTTCAACTTTAGGTTTTGTTTGTGTCGAAACTATTCATTATCGGCCAAAACGGCTCACATGTCTCTATCTCAACTTTTGATTTACTATTTACTGATATTTAATCGGAACAGATACAGGATGATCAGAATTCTGAATCTTAACCACCCTGTATCTGTTCCGATTAAATATCAGTTGAAAAATCTCGAATTTGGACACCCCATATCTCTGTAATCATTTTTGATAGACCCCAAGTGTAATATATTGATGAAATCAGCTTTTCAGGCAGAATCAAAAGATGCGATGAAATACAGGGTATTCCATTTGAAATATCAATGTTGCTACTACTTTCTACTAGAAGCGGCAACACTGCATTGTCGAAAATATTTCACATGAAAAGAGTGTATTCTGAAATATCAGCATGCACATTTTCATGGATTTCTCCCGACTGATTCTCGATATAAAGATAGTGTAAGCTCGTCGTGACATACCCTGAATATTATATTGATTATAAAAGATAGAGTAAAAGATGGAAGATACATCCATAGAGGGTGATTGGAACCACCAAAGTTTCCTCTATCTGCAGGTTTAGTATGTACATTCAAATCTGAAACAGGTATTTTTCCATGAAAGAATTTCGAATCTTATTTTCTTCTGGTTTGCTCGTTTCGAATTATATTATCTTGAAAGTATTCAACGAACAGACGTTTCTTATTTTGAAAACATATAAGCTAATTGAGTAAAATATAAACAGGAAAATATGAGGAAAAACAGAGAATCTCTATTCACTCACTAGCATGAAAAATGCGAAGCTTTGATGAAACAACACTGAATTAAATAAGGAATACAAAAACACAATACTTGCACTCATTTTCAAGTGAACACTCCGTTTGGAACGATAAATAATTCCTTCCGCGTATTTTTCATTTGCGATTACAAAATTCGACCGTACGTGATGACATCTAATATAAGACTCTCTTGATTCACCACCCGGTCTCGAATGAATGACTAATGAGTTGAATCATACTGCTAACCGATTAATTTCCGAACAAATGATTTATCTATGACCATGATGAAAATTCCACCTTTGATCTACCAGTATACTTTTCCTCTCAGTGCTCATGTATACTGTTTTCCCCTGAATTATTTCACAAGATACCTTCATAAAAATCAACAATTGTGAATGAATTCGAAATCCAGGACTTTCATTCATGTAGAAACAAATTAACAATGAGGAAAAGTAGGTATCTACCTGCTAGGTAAGAGGTAGGTCATACTTGTACCTATTTTAAAAGGAATCAATGAAGATTATAAAGTGAAACTTCAAAATTGCATCAATAAAGAATGAGGTGTTGATTGAGGTAGTTGTGGAATGGAAATTGAAATATGAATTTCGAAAACCTACAAGAAAATCATTACAAAGACACAAAAAACTAGAACTGTTACTTATGAATAAAATACAGTTCAATAAAAACATACAAGCAGCAAAATTATAAATAAATATTTCCAAGATACAATTTGAAATGTCATGGATATGTTCAAGTACCTAAATAATCAGTGATATATCTTAAAAAATTTGAATTCATCTTCAAGGAATGAACAAAAACTTTTTTTTATCGCTTGGAGCGCACGAAAGGGAATCCCTATAATGTTCAAAGAACATCGTGCGTTCCTAGGGAGGATAAGGATAGGAGGTAGGTACTGGAATTTTTTTTGTTCTGGAGATTATATGTTGTTGGGAATACTTCCTCAGGCAATGAATTCCAGAGCCTAATGAGTTAAAACTTGATATTCCCGTTCATTCATTTATTTATGTTGCGTAACGAACTAACGAATTACGAAGGAAGGTTGGAGATTAGTAGACTCACCAGAGTGGACTGTATCGTGATGTATGATGGACCTGGATGTTCTCGTCCGATGTAGATGCGGTAGGCCTACCTTTCAGCTCCTGTTTCCTCGAATGTCTATTTTAATGATACTATCACTGGACATCCATTGATACACGATTTGTAGCACTAGCGAAAAAATGTTGAAAAAAAGGAACTAGTATTTTGCAAGAACCACACAAAAGATGCCGGTCACTCGTCTTTCGATGACTATCTCTCTCTGTCCATGTGTCTATCCCACCAACCTTCTCAGACACGCGCTTTACCATTCAATCTATAAATACGCGCATTATTGGTACCACACCATAGGCAACCCATAAAGCACAAATAAACAATATATTTATATATATATTGATACAGATATTTATTCTCAATGATGATGTATTGATTGAACTTGATCAATTTATTATTATTTTCAATTATACTAGAATATTAATATTAAACACAAACAATGGGGTCGAAATATACTGCCCGCTAAAATACAATCAGGACTTCGATTGTATTTTACTAAGTTATGGTAAGGGACAGAGCTTTATTATCGGTCGAAGAAAACTACCCTGAGCCGTTTCAACAGAAGCTACTCTACTTATTCCATCTGAACCAGGGTGGAACTTTTCAATTCTGCCTAATCTCCACTTCGAAGGCGATATTCTCTCATCTTTTACAAGTACCAATTTGCCAATATCTAATTCAGGATTAACTTATTAAAAAAAATTTGACAGTGGCTCTCTTATACAGTGTGTCCCACTTACCATGCTCACCATGGGTATCTTTTTAACGGTGAGAGATACGAGGTCGGTTAAATGACACCAAATGTGGAGTTTGTCATGGCCAACTATAATGTGAAAAAATATTTCGATAAAATCTATTCGTTTTTGTTTTATACGCAAAAAACAGATTTTGATTATTTTCATGTCTCCTCCGTAACTTCTTTATTTATGAAAATATTCGAATAGAAATTTCACATTCTCATGGCAGTTTTTCGAAGTGATTTCGAAAAAAATATGAAATTTATACCAACTCTTCTAGAATTTGAGATATCAGCACCAACTTTAGTTTTTCAAATGTAGGTCATAGCTCACTATGACTTAGTTACAAATAACTTTTTTTCCTTTTTCATTCCATTTTAAAGTTTTTGTATTATCTTTCTGAAATTCAAGACCAGGGTTAACTTCTTCCCCATGTACATTTTCTCGATTATACATTTTATTTAATATCTCCTAATTTTCATGTAGAGTGGCAACGTCGCTTCGTTCATCACGGTCGACTGCGGATCGCAAACGATAGTTGTGACAGAAGTAGAAATCTGGGCGGAAAATGGGTATTTTGCCCCAAATCTATTTCGATCCTAATAATATTCTTAATAGTGCTATTCGGTAGTATACCTCAAGCTTTCTTAGTGTTTAAAATATATGCACTTATTTTAAAATCAGCCTGTATTTTATACATATGGTAAATAGGAATTTCTATAAATGTGTGTATTTGCATTAAACGCATAGACATTTAAAAATAGGGGAGACATAACATTTCATTCAAAAAACACTATCTGTTTACAATCATACATACTTTCAAAGTTTAAAATTGGTTAGCAAGAGATGACTTTGAAAAATGGCAACGCTGAAAACTTTTCTTTATCTGTCGCGACAGTCGCGTAGGTTAAACGAGGGCCAAGTCAGTTTTACTACAATGACAACGCTATTATACCTATTAGAAAATGTTTGGGTCTAATCTTTTAATTCCAATACCTACCAAATATTCCTAGTACCTTAGGTACTTACCTAATTTTGATCCATCATTCAGTGGAATTTGAATTGTATGAAATGATGAAATTAGGAAAATTCAAATTATTTCAATAGCAGAATTCACTTATTTCAATTAAGGAACAAACATACAGAATAATTATCATTGAAATATGCATATTATATAATTAATGTATGATTAATACTGCCCTCGTTTTCAATTTTTCAAACACAGGCTGTAGATCTAGGGCAATCCGCAGAAATTCAACCATCGTTTTCTGCTGAAAACGATGTTGAATCGGGAAAAAAAAACGTGAACAATTTCGTCTCCCCTCTTTTAATATGTCATGATTGAACGTCATTGTGTAACGTCTAAATGAAATTGTTTGATGAATTGTATATTTTCAGCTCCCATGGTCCCTCACGGCTACCAAGCCAAACTGATCCACGGCTTCGTGGAAGAACTCCTAGTCTACGACGATCCCGAGTACCAGTGGATCGACAAGATCCGCACGCCGAGAGCCTCGAACGAGGCTCGCCAAACTCTATTCTTCAAGCTCTCCGGCGAGCTCCAGAGGAAAATCGGCGTGAAAACACTCGATTTGGGCGGAAACGCCGTTATTGGGTATAAGCAAAGTTATGATTTGGAGGGAGAGTCCGGGATTGTGGGCAGGGGAATAGGTACGGCTGTGACGCTGGTGAAGTCTGTCAATGTTTGCAGTCCGACCGTCAATGAGGAGATCAAAGAAGAGTGAGTATCGTATATGGCGCACAGTCTGCAATCACCCTGAATCGCAATGTTTTCGACGAGATCGCACTTGTGTGTCTAAGGATACTGTTTCCACTTTGGCTTTGAGACTTCCAATCCATGAAAGTTTTCCTGAAAAAAAAAACATCATTGATATAGTGAATCACTATCGGCCCCAACAGTAAATGCTTCAGCAGTATTTATTTCAATCAATCACTTGAAAAAAAAGGAGTAGGTGTTTGAGGATTCGAACTCATCTATAGGCACATACTTAAAAGTTATTCATTCATTCTTTTCTCAATGACATAGACAATTCAAGGACAACAAACATAGATAGATAGATACTTTATTCGTTTTCCATTTAAAATATTCACGTCTGAAATATGAATGAACAAACACGTCAAAAACACTTAATATCAAAGAAAATAAATTAATAAATAAATGCTCTATGGCGAGGTCTATGGAGACATATATAACAATACAAAATGAATTATAATTAAAAAAACGTCTAGTGAATATTTCATTATTAAATTTATTATATAATTCGCACCTGATGAACTAACAACTCTTGATATTGTGTAGTGGAGTGAGAGTTGGGTTGGAACGAATTGCAGTAGTGAGTGTTAAGATCATGCTTTGGTGGGCAAGTTGAAATGTTATACAATTTATATAACTATATACTTACTTCTAATATATATATGCTGTACAATGTGAGGATTTTGAGTTCTTTAAAAAATTCTCTACAACATACATATTATTAAAAGTGATATCAACAATTCTCCACGCCGTGTGAAGTTGGCTGGTGTTAGCCTCATTTCAAGCCATGCTCTCTAGAATAAGAAATCCCGGACGTGAACCGGTGATCCGGTGAATATTGCTGGTTTACGAGGGAAAATGAAAAATACAAACACTCTTAATCGCTCAGTCTTCTTGGACTCACGCTCTTTGACCACATCCAGTGGCCACGCCCAGAATCGGTCTCCAAGCCAATCAGCCGGCTGAGGTGACCCGTAAATATAGGCAGAGAGACGCATTTGACTCTAGCGTGTTTGGTGCTGCGGTGGAGCCATGATATTCTCCTGAAATTTCAAGGACATCGCTTACGCGATGCCCAAGAAACTTCGTGAGCTTTTGCATTTTCTGGATGAGAATCTTACATCGATCGACTCATATATCAATCGGTGCTTCTTATAGATTTCATGCTCAGCTCTGGTGGTAGTGATATTGCTGGTAAGTTCACCACTCTCAATATGGAATCTATAAAATGGTTGTTGCAAAAATACGTACAAAACATATTCATACGGTTACCGAGCGGTCTTCGTTATGCGCATGCGCAAGTCTCAAACCAAAGTGGAAACCGTGTCGCTAGACGCTAGATTAAGCAGATAATAGCAACTTTTGAGTATCGACCTCGCCCGAGTAGAAACACGTGACTAGAGAAAACCACTCCAGGTTTTCCATCGGTTCGGTCTTCTTCTTCAATATCTTTTCTTGATGAACCAAGAAAGTTATCGGTGCTGAGTGTTTTAACTGTTTTGTTCGATTTTCTATATTTTCATATGTTTTTACCATACAATGATTACCGACCACCCTTTATCAACAACATTTTTCTTCAGACTTTAAAGTGTATTTATTCATAAGTTAACTCATACATAATCAAACAAAGGGCTGGATTGACAATTTTCATTTAGAAAGACTGGCCAACTATTTAATTAACATTAATCATCTTCAAAACTAATTTCAGATGACCTATTTACACCAAACAATGCTCCAGAGTCTAGATATACAGCAGGGCGTTCTCAAAGGTGAGACAAGTGTTTTAACTGGATGTAGAACTCACCATAAAGGAGAAAATCACCAAAAATTTACCATATAAAAGTTGCAAAATAACGAAGTTCAAAAACTCACCGATAGAATTCGCCTAGTTACGGCATATTTACCATTTCGGATGGTACAGACATCCCCAATTCCCCACATATCCTTTTTGTTCCATCAATCACCCTGTGTCAAGACCCTTTTGCACCAAATTAACGAACATTCACGGTGTTGGAAGATTTCTTAACGGAAATCTTTCCGTGTACAAACTAAATGCTGCTGCACTTTGGCGACACTTATCATGAATAAGAAACTTGTGAACAAGTTCATTATTTTCGAATATGTGCTACTGTAACAATGGAGATAGATGATCCGATGACTAGCGTAGCCAAGACCGTAATGAAATTCTTTCAAAATTCATGAAATAACTTTCATTGAGGCGATACTAGGCAGATTCTATATATTTCAATGAATTCTACATCCTATCAAACAAATGTCTCACTTTTCAGAACACCCTGTATATTTTGGTATCAATAACACAATGTCATTGTGGACATCTAGTGATACTAGATATTTGAAATGCATATTGAACAAATGGGTTTCTTCATTGAGCTGTATGAATCACATATGTTTCAAGTGATTGATCAAGAAACCGGTACTGTGTTTTTTTTAGAAAATCAATTTGTCATCATTCAGGGTTAACAAAATATGTTTTTTTATACCACCTGACATTTCAGAATGATCTTAACCGGTACTTGTATGTTTTGAAAAATTTAAAATGGCAATCCGTAGTTATACAGTTGTTGTACACTTTGACACTTGAGCCCATAAACGAGTTGGCCATGATTACAGCTCAAAACTGAAGCTACCCACTTGTAGGATGTGCATTTCAAATACCTACCTGACAAATTGAAGTTATCACATGGGTGGTCAAGGTCAAGTTCAAATTCAATATAAACTGCACCGAATTCGAAGTGAGACGAGCGGAAGTTTCATTTTTATCTGAATCGTCAAAATAAACGAAATTTTCGCGCGTCTCACTACGAATGTGGAGCAGTTTATTCATACAATTTTAAATTTTTTGCATACAGGCTTGTTAAAAATTACCTTGAATTCGTTGGTGATGGCAAGAGCTTCTGCTTGAACCTCCTTCTCCCCTACCGCCCATCCCTCTCCCTTTATCCCAAGCTGCCGGACCTAGGAGCCCCTAGATATAGGCAACTTCCCAAACGGCTCTACAGCTCGCTAGACTCTGAAAACCCGCACGCGCGGTCTAACGATCACATCGCGCACGCGTCATCTCTGAGAACGCTCTTCAAGCAAGAAAACGAACGAGGCAAGCAAAGCTATCGGCTCTCTCAGAAGTTCAAGAGCTTGAAACGATCGCAGAACTCGCTCTCCAGAAAAATGACCGCTCTGAAATCCAAGCTCGGCGATAGTATAGGGGAAGAACCGGAAGAAAACAAGGTGGCAGTCAGAAGGAAGCTCTCGAAGAGACCTACTGACGCTAGTGTCATGGCCGAACTCTTAGCACGTTCCGTCATCCATGCTCACAACAGCTTGAGCTGCATCCTGGAGGTCAGGAGTCCATCGCGAGATGAGGAAGAGAGTGAAAACACCATGGAGAAACTCGAGCCGCTGGCTAATCTACTGAGCAAGACCGTTTCCGAGCCGAATATCTCTTCAGATACTGCCAGCGAAGGAAGGTACTCCAGCTCGGATACCAGCACTTCTGGATCAGAAGATGAGGATAACGTCAGTTATAAAGATGATGACGGTATCGATACCATCAGCAACATAATCAAAGACGTGGAAATTTGGCAGCGGAAACAGAATCGACCGAAACTGCTCAAACAGTTTTCGTTACCGGCTTTGGGACCCAACAGAGTCGATTCTTTGAGCTCTTTATCCGCTTACAACGAGTTGAATAGTGAGCCATCAACTTCTGCCAAAGAAAACTCGGAGACAGCTGAAACTGAAGAACATTTGGGTAGTACTCAGAAAGATCCAACTGATTCTGATTCGAAGCCAGCCGAAATTGCCACCGACTTCAAGGGGATAATACCTGAAGCTGTGAAGGATGTGGAGATCAAGAGTAAAGGACTTATAAAAACAGCTATGCAGGCCCTTTTGCTGGACAAAGCTAGTATCCTAGGAACTTACACGCCGCCAACGTCCCCTTCTTTCAGTCTAGTGAGGATCAGTCCACCTGAAGATAATGTCAAACAACAGATCAGTGAATTCAATTTCCCAACAATGAGAACCAGAATCCCTAAATCTGCCAGTTCTGTTTCGTTCGCTGATTATATCAAACACAAAGAAACCGTGTTGGGAGCTCCTTTCACATCGATTACTTCCCTAGAATTCTCAAAGAAACGACTGTCTCACCCTTGCATCGATCAAGTGAATCTAACCCCAACCATCGACTTTTCGAGGAGAGATAGACCTAACTACTTTTCTGATAACCAACTCAATAAACCTCTCGTTAAATCCATGTTGAATGAGTCGATTAAAAAAAGCAAGCTGTCTAAAAAATTCAAAATATTTCATTTAAACCGTAAGACTTTCAGTCACGATTTTTCTTTGAACGATCGTAAAAAAGTACTAGCGAGGAGGCAGTCAGGGGAGGGGTGCAAAAAGGAAAAGGCTGGATTGATTTCTCGCATATTCGGCCACAAAATAACAGAAGAGAAGTTGTCTACGTCGAACGGCTCCTCCTTTTCCCCACCTCATTGTAATCTAACTGTCACTAACGATTCTCCTTGTGAATTGCCAGTCGATACAAAAATTGAACACGGCAATGTTGGTAGCATTACTAAGCACGCATGCATAACCTCGAACAGGCATATTCTGTCATCACAACCTGAACAAAACGGAGGTACCTGTCAACAGAGCGCTGAGCCTCAGAAGAGCGAACTGTCGCCGGCGAAAATCAGCAATTTGAGTCATCGCAGATCATCGGATTCGGACTTGAGCATCACTCCGAAAGGTATGTCACTTATTTTTTCCCATTAATTTGTTCGAGGTACAGTGCGATTCATTCGAATGCCCTCAAATTTGTATTTAGCGTTCATACATACATCTCGATGTCTCAGCTTGACTATAAGTAAAGGAAAACTATAGAAATAAAAAATAACCTGGAAAAAGGTTTTTAAATTGAATATAATATGGTGCATTTTAAGCAAAAATTTCATAGGTAGGTACCTTTTCATATTTGGAAACTGGAGTTGTATTTTCCCAGAAACAGACTACATGAAACAGCATATTTGAAACGAGCTGACTTTTCCCAACAAATTCAGTAGTTTCTTTGTTGTTTGTTTCTTATTTGTGATGGATGAAAGGTAAAGGAGTGTTCCGCTTAGCAGTTGGTGATACTGTAGGAATCAGTCAGTGTCTACTACATTCTACTTTCCAAATAATACTACATTCAAAATCATGGTCATTCAAATAATTGAGCTCTACTTCGAGTTCAAATTTGTTCTCAGGATTTATTGTAACATGAAAAATACACCTGAATGAATCATCCACCGATAAGAAAAACTAACCTTGATGTCCCGTCGTTAGCCATAATATTAGGCAGGTGTAAAAAACCTTGTGGATGTATGATTACCCATCTATATACAGGTTGTTACATTGATATGGTGAAAGAGTAGATTCTTCACAAACAATAGGAAAATAGTTCCCATAAAATTTGTTCCAAAAGACTTACTACTGTGGCAACTTGACTAATATTGAAATACAAAAATATTTCACCTCAGTGTTTTTTCCTTCAGAATATCTTTTCCAGATAGAGAAATTCGAATCAAGAATTTTATGCCTCCTTAGTTTTGTCGTGCTCTGTTTTAGAGAAAGAGAAATAATCAAAGTAAGTCAATAGAATCAAAATATTTCGTTCGCATATTTGCTCAAATGTTTGAAGATATAAAGGAAGCTGAATACCTTTTATCTCTTGAAAATTGCAGGTTTTATCATACAGGGTATGTTGAAGAAGGATTCTACTCTTGAAATGTTTTTCAATATCAATATACTATTACTTGAATAGCGACAATTTGTTTCAGTTTTGAAGGAGGTATCGCACAAGGGTTTTTTCAAAAGTGAACAAAACTATTGGGCTCACTTAATTATTTTTTTATATTTATACAGGATGAGTCAATCTCGAATATCAAAGGATCTATTTTCCATAACAGTGTTGACTGACTCTGTATATCTTTTTGTAGAATAGTGACCAAACACTGAATGGTGTTACATTGAGTGGGTAAATCATGTCAGGAATATAATAATAATATTAATAATAATAATATTTATTTCTCAAATTGAAAAGTGCAGTTGATGCAATAATGCAATAATGCAATCTGAATCCTGAATAAAATATCCTGAATAAAATATGTTTATGCTAGTGGTGACAATAATTTTTAAAACATTCAATTTCCGTTTTGATTGATTGTACTGCGTATCCTTATCCGCTTTCCAATGCCATTCAGTGTTTTATGAACGAATCGATTTAGAATCTTTATTATTTTGATATATTTTCATCTCGTAGGATTCTTTAGGAAAAGTGAGTATAAGATGCTTACCTATATAACTGTTGCATCTACATGTATAATGTTGTTTAAATGTAACTAATCAAGTTCAGAGTATTATCATGGTTTTGTTACCGTCTAGAATAGGAATAATTTTGTTTTCGATTTATATATTTGTACTATATCGAATACAAAACGAAATTCGAATTTTTACAAGTGCTGAAAGATATCCAATGAGCCACAAAATATAAGTTACCTATTTTGTAAAGAACCCTTCTGATATCGGAATGAGTATTTCGGATCTATGAAATACAAAAATGTTTGACACACAAGTCCGTATATTAAAACCGGATTATAAGAACATCATCATTTCAGGTACCTATATCAAGGCTGTGACAATTTGGGAAAGTAAAACTTAGTTATCAAATTATGTTTTTAGGCATATTTACCTTTTAATATTTGGGTATCCTTCAGTATTTGAGTATTTAACCAAGCTCTGAATCTGACTATCATTATATACGGTTTATACAATATTAATTATCACGTTCGAATCTAGACAAAACAAGCCCTGATTGAAGAATACAATTATCAGGTACCTATAGACAGTTTCTTTATGTACTATTACTCATTCGAAGAATTTATTGTCATCTTCGAGAATATAATAGTCAGGTGAGTTTGGATGGTGGTGAACCCTTATTTTTTGGGAGAAACAAGTACTTCTGTTGATTTCTGCTAGGCCAAAGCAATTCCATCAAAAGATCTCGTAGGAAGTTCGAGAGATCCTCTTGGATCTTTCTTTTGTAGATCACCTTATTGCTAATCTCTAGCTTGGTTATATCGGAGACATGAGTTTCATTTATTCGATTCCGCTTGCTACTTTTCATTCCCTCTCACTTCAAGGAATGACAGTTGTCAAAAAAATAAATTAGATTGACGAAAAACGAAATAATTAAAGACATTTAGAAGACATTTTTATCGTAAGGTTCACTAGTTTATGGTTCTTTCAAATAAGACAGGTTTCATATGTTCATTCCCAGATATAATGAATTCTTTCGGTCCCAGAGAAGTTTTTCCAATCACCACAATCACTGCTCCGAATATTCGTTGATTCATTTTCTAGATTCTTATCTCTAATTATTATATTATTATGATCTTGAAATCATTCGTATCCCCAATAAATAAATATAATTTCTTATGTAAATTCTCTTATGCTCATGCAGGGTCATGAAGTTTCTCGTTTTATTTGTGATCGCCATTCTATTCCCACAACCGCTACCAGAATGGAACAAAAAACGCAACTATGGTTATGCAAAGACAGACAAGCGTCTAGCTAGACCAGCGAATCTTCCATACCTCAAGGTTATCAGAAGGTTATTCGTGTTTATAAGACATAAGGTAATATGAGGAAGGAGAATATCTCTTCTGCATGAAAAAGGAAAGTATTTTCAACCTAACTTGTCCTAAATTACATTTTTCATAAAAAGTATATTTTTGAGAAGTTGAATGAGAGAGAAAAATTTAAAAAAAAATTACGCCTCGCAGGGATTGAACCCCAGTCACTACATTGGAAGTCATATACACAGACCACTAAGCAATCACTTTAAGCGGCGTTCACAACCAAACATGTCACGTTTTGCTTTTTACGTTTCGTATTCTGATTGGTGAAGCGAAATCTGTAATTGAAATCAAGCAAGAAGCTGAAAATATTCAGCTTTTTGCGTTGCAAGAAGTCATCGTCTGTGAAAATAGTAAAAATAGACGAATGATATTGTTATAAAAATGGAAAATACTTTTTCGTGAATCCAGGGAATAGTAGATAGGTATACTGTTGAATTTATTATTTTCTTCTTGAGGATTGATTTTTCTCTTCAAGTATTGATTAAGGATCAATTTACGTCACCGCCAGTTCTAAGAATGTTATTAATTATCTAATCAATATCAAAAAGTAAAAAGTCACGTTAATTTTTTTTGTTAAGTTCAGTTCACGTTTAATTTCAAATTCTGCTTCACCAATCAGAATACGAAACGTAGAAAGCAAAACGTAACGTAGCGTAGTTTCTCAATATAAAGAAGGAAGAAATATCATGTGTTGTGGGTGACGTCACTTGATCTCGATGTTTGAAGATTCGCTGGTCTAACTAGACGCTTGTCCAAGACAGTTAGCAATCTTCGAGCGTTGAAATTTACAAGGTTTCTATTTCTCTATCCTGAGACCTTATCTGATTCGTCCTTCATTCAATGTATTCTGCTTTCATTCTGTTTCTTTTGCATTTCGCATCATTTTTTGAGGTTATTCGGCTTATAATTAGTCTTCTTGGTCTCTTCCTTCTTCCAGATAATATGACAGCTTATGGTAATACTCAGGGTTTTGGGGTAACTTCAAAGTGAGAGAGGAATTATAAATGCCAAGTTGTTAAGTAATAACGTGTCATCACTTTTGGCTGAAAGTTTGATTACCTTGATTGTACTAACCTTGAAAAAATAAAAGTTGCGTATCTCAATAGATACACATTTGAGTTCAATCATGACTCAATTGAGGACTCAAAATAGAAATAAATAACGTTTGCAACACGGTTGAATCAGTTTTCCAAAAATGTCTTTGTTTCTCTCAAAAATAGAACGTTTACACCCATCCTATTCGGTACGTACGCTGTGATACTAAACCTATTTTTTTGTATATGCATGTACCAGCCAATGTTTTTATTTCTGTAGGGCCTTCTTCTGTTTCTGTTCAAGTCCGCTAAAGTTGGTAATCATAATAACTGTCATTTTCGCTAGGAAACAGTTTGACTGGGAGCGACAAATCTGGAGGACATCTCAGTGGACACTTCATGAGAAATAATTTGATGCACCGCTCGAAGATACACCAGGAGAACTTCGACATGTTGGAATACCCCTTCCTGACTATCTTGAAATTTCCCCCCGACTTCATATCCCAAATAGGTAGGTTGGTTACAACAAAAACTCAAATACCTACAAGGAAAAATATAAAACAAGTATAAATTCTTATTTTTCTGTGACGGGAAAAAAGTTTGGCATATCATCTCTTTTGGCAGGTTATAAAATGTCACTTTTCATAAATTACTTTTTTCCCGTGGGAAAAAAGTGAGTACTTTTGTCCTGGATATATATCACATATGGTGGATCTTTGGTATTTTTTTTTCCTTTAATACATACCTGTAATACTGAAATAATCAATATTTACATTTAGGTTTCTTGTTTTTTTTTGTTTTTGTTTTGTTTCTTTTTTAGAAAATATATTTCGGAATCAAATTTTTAAATACAGGATGAATATTTGAATAAAATCATTTGATTAGGGCACTTTACTAGATATAGGCTAGCATATCATTACATATGTATATAGTAAATTCGTACTGAATGTAATCATTTATTGGTATTCTTTTATACTGTAGATTACAACGAATAAATAAATAAATAAATAAATAAATAAATAAATATATTCACTGTTGATGGCTTTTGTTGTGCTATAGTTCCGAAAAATGGGCCAATAATACCGTCTCCGAGAAGAACTTTCAAAATAATGTAATATCTTCTCAATATTGATTCGTCCTTTCTTCTACCACAGAAAAAATAGTGTATTATACACGGGAAAAATATTAGATTTCAGCTCACGGTTTTTTGTCTCCCTCCGCTACGCGAGTTACGTTTCCATATTCCTGTTATTCACCTCAAGAACACACGAGTTTGACGCTCATCAGCGGATTCAGCAGTTTCGTATTTCATTTTTATGAATTATATCACACCATTTTTGTCTCACGAATTACTTGTGAATTTCATTTAATAAAGTCAGTTCTCTCTTGTACCTTGAAGGAAAAACATTGCTTATCAAAAACGTTCCTCGATTTTCCAACTTCCTAATTCGCGTCGGGAGACAACACAACCTGGAGCTAAAATCTACTACTTGTTCTCTTGTATAATAAATAACTATTTGTTCTCTGGCAACTCAAGAATGGCGACTACTGAAACTTCAAATATAATAACTAGCCACTTTCCAATTGGAAAAGAAAGGAAAATCAGAAGAAAAATGCATAACCTTCTGGGTGAGCATAAAGAATGGATTATTTCGTATCACCAATAATATTCACCGTCAACAAATTAATTAACGAATAAAATGAGAACATAACCTCAATGAAACGAAGCTATCAGTAAGGTTTGGTGTGAACTAGTTTCAGGTAAAATTGTGGGCGCGGTGCCAATATTCATTTAGTAATGTCTTGAAAACAATGAAAAGAATTGACTTCAGTTTTTCAAGCTAGAATTCTGGTTTAATCCTATCAGTTCCACGAATTGAAACTGATCTGGATATTATTGAAATAGCTCTGTGTGAACATGACTGTTATCTAATGACGTCAGCAGAAAGTTGAAGGGGTCAAAACTAATTCTTCGAGCTTTTTCTGAAGTTAAATCTGAGCCTATAAAAAAATTCATGACTTCCACGGAGATATAAGAATCTGAATTTAGGAAACTTTCCCATTCTTTCATATTGTTATTTACAAGGTGGAGCCGTCAGTGCCAGATCCGTGAAACGGTTAGAGACAATCAGTAACATCGAAGAACCAGAATCGAGAGATACGTGGTGGTCAGAGATAAGGATGGAAATACGATCGCATGCGCGTAGCTTAGGCTGCAACGCGGTTTTAGGATACACAGAAGCAGCTAGTATATGGTAAGTCTAAAAGATCGATAAGGCGCGAAGATCGCGAACACGTGGTGTCGGATTTTGGGATTGCTGCAGAGGTTGAACAACACACCCATTCTATATCGAACAACTCATATTTTGTGTCTGTGATTTCTTTTGCGAAACATGCAACGAATATTTCATTGTTTGACCCTCTCACCAAACCGACTTTACGCCTTCAAATATGTTCCCAGCATCAAGATTAAAACTAATTATTTTGCTAAGAACGTAGATATACCAACATGATCTTGAAAGACATTAACCACTCGGAACTAAGGTCCACCAGGATCCAATTAACATTAACCACTCGGAACTAAGGTCCACCAGGATCCAATTAACATGTGTTTCGGGCTTTCATCCTTCAATCAGTACAGTGAAAAAAGTGCGAAAGATAGGCAACACTTGGTGGAAGACGAAACAACAAATCGACGAAGTCAACAAACATAAGCCAGCCGCATAATTGTGGTTTCGGTCAGCAGACCCTGCATTTTCAGGCCTACAACTAACTCCACCACGGAGGCAGCTTTAGCTACCTGCGTGACATCCGAGTCCAGGAGTAGAATAAAGATGGAAGGAATATTGTGGGAACTGTTTTAAGCAAACTAGGCACCCGTCGATTTGTTGTTTCGTTATCCACCAAGTGTTGCCTATCTTTTGCACTATTTTCACCGTACTGATGAGGGCTGAAAGCTCGAAACACGTGTCTGCGGTTTTTTCAGCCAGTGTGAACAATTTCAAGTTCTTAATATCGGTGATAGGATTGTGGTTGTCCAGCTACACTTTGAAATGCGAGATGAGATGTTCCTAGAACCCAGTTACAGTCGGTCTTCTGGTTTGACCTACATTTGTTTTGCTCTAATCGATACAATGAATCACGTAAATTCATGTGTGTATTATTTTTATGAATTCAAATGTTTTTTTCCCATTTTACCAAAATCAACCCAACCAGAAAAAAACACAAACTTGTGAATTCTACCATCACTAACGTTCTTTACTTCTTGACTACTGAAATGGAAATAAATGAAGCATAATCTGACTTCAATCAATCCTATTGATGAAATAATATTTGTGATGTTAGATTCAAACTGTATGATTCAGTTTCACATACTTATAAGCTACATATTATGTTATGGCAATATTGGACATTCTTTAAAACAGGCTAAAAGTTCAGGAATTGATAATAACCGAAGAATAAATATATTGGTGCATTACAAAAGGTTTCTTGTTCAGCTCTCGTTCAAAATTTGACATCAGCTTTCACATTTTTTTAATTCTATTTCAGTGAAGATGTGTGTATCCTTGGCGCATCTGGTACTGCTATTGTTTTAGATTTCCATAAGAATGAGGATTTCGAAGATGGTGGCTCAGTGTTCAAGCAGAATTACCCTGCCAAAGATGTCATGAGCGCTTCTCTAGAACGAAACCACTTTGACCGAGAAAAAATGGTAAAGTGGTCAAGATTTTGACTTATTAAGATTTTTCATTTAGTTGTGGATGCAATGTGAAGATTGAAAAAATAAAAAATTGTAGGTCCGTGAAGTTTTTATGAATTTATTTTTCGAATGAACAAATGATTTTAATAGGTTATTTTATTTTTCTTGAGATACGTATGTGACCCTGAATAATATAACTCAAGGCAGTCTTCACTTGATTGATTTTTGTTTGTTCTTCAATTTCGAATTCACGGTAATTTTAATAATGTTTTTTAGAATGGAAGCAATAAAATTCCTGAGAGTCCAGAACACCCTATACATGTTCCTCAAAATACACCATGTGCAATAATTCATCTTCCGTATGCGTGCAATAATGTTCCATTGAAAGCAACAGTTGGAAAGTGTCTTATGTGTCGGTGAGTATAATTCATAAATATCTAGAACCATCAGCAAATTCAAAACTGCTCATCTTACAAAATTCAGCCCACTTAGATTTTGAACATTAGTAATTGAACCTATCTCGATTATCGCAACTATTTTTATACAGGGTGTTTTCAAATGTGTGGCATATTTTTCAACAGGGTGTAGAAGTAGAACTCATTGAAATCAAAACTCACCAAAATTCGCTTATTGCAGTTGGAAATTTCATAAATTGTTGTTAACTTTCTGCTTCATTCTACTTACGGCGAGTCAGACATAGTGCGGTCGTATCATAGAAATTAAAAATTTTTAATTTCGTTATTTTGTAACTCGTATATAGGCCGTTTTTGCTGAAACGGTTTATTTTTGGTTTCTACATCCTGTTAAAAAATATGTCTCACCTTAGATAACACATATACTAAAATGAAATGATGTAAAAAGTTCAGGCTGGTCGTCAATGCGTATTATTCAAACTAAATTGTATACAATTAAATTCTTAGTTGCCAATTTCTATTGAAGATTCGTATATTCTATTGAGCTTCAATTCGATTCAGATAAATCTAGAGTGCCTCATTCATCTAGGTCAAGCATGTTTGTTATTGGTATCAATCGTTCACTTCATGCATCAATGTATGAATGAGTTATGATCTCAGATCAATCTCTAGAATTTTTTTTTCGTGAAGATATTTTATTCGTCTCATATTGTTCAGTTGAGTCTCTTATTTGAATTATGATGTGAGTGCTCTTTTCAAAATTCACAGAAAGTTATTTCGTTCCTGTTGATCAATCAGTCAATGCCACTCAGAAAAATTGAAATCAGTCAATCGTTCCTGAACTAACTGTTCATCACTACTTATCAGGATTCAAAATTACCTACAAAGGACGTCATATGTCATCTTGTCTTATTGACGTATAATACTGATGGAGGTTTTAGTGACGTCCCTACAAAGTCCTACATTCTTCCGTTCGACTAAATAAGAAATCATTTGTTGAACTAAATTTGTGTTTGTATGTACGTTTCCCTACAATGTGAAGCTTAATTCGCCAACTTTTGTTACATTGGTATCAAACAACTATTAGTTCGCTAACAACTCGCTGACGCTCGCTGCATAATTTTAGATACCAAATATATGAGTAGATAAACATATTGACATATAGAGATGGGTACTAATTCTTTTTTAATACTACTGCTAATACTGCTAATAATGATAGTTCACCACAGAACGCATAGTTACAAATGGATTTCATCAAATGTTTGTGGTGTATTATACAGGGTGGACCATTTTAATCTATTATGGATAATAGTTCTTTCCGGAAGCCGCTAACAAAAAAATGGTTCGAACAAAAGTTGAAGGATTCAAAGGGGGCCAAAGAATGACTCTACTCACAACCCCCCCAGGGCCCCCATACGGCCCTGAGAGATGAAATGTTTTTTTTCAATGGGAACCCTATTTTTTCACAACGGACTCTTGTTCTACAGAGAAAAACAAATAAACAATGTCTGGCAAATTCTTTTTTGGGTCCCTTAAAGGGCCCCAAATTTTTAATTTTGGTATTTGAGTTGGAGAAAACAAAGAATCTTAATCCATTGGCATGTACCTTTAATCTTTCCGTGTAAATTATTTAACCATTTAATAGTTGCTCAAAGTGGCCACCGTTTTCTCTAACACACAGATTCAACCGTCTCTGAAAATTATTCACAGTACTTATAAGAACATTTTCAGGGATGATATCGCAAGCTTCTCGTATACGGTTGATTATATCTTCCCTTGTAGTTGGCTGACGAAGGGGCCCAAATGAAAATTTGCTAGACACATTTTTTATTTTTTTTCTCCGTAAAACAAGAATCCGTTGTGAAAAAATAGGGTTCCCATTAAAAAAAATGTCATCTCCTAGGGCCGTATGGGGGCCCTGGGAGGGGAGGGTTGTGAGTAGGGTCATTCTTTGGCCCCCATTGAATCCTTCAACTTTTGTTGGAACCATGTTTTTGTTAGCGGCTTCTGGAAAGTACTATTATCCATAATAGATTAAAATGGTCCACCCTGTATATATGTTACCGGACAAACCCGATTTTAGGATAAACTAGTTTTTCTTAGGCTAAATCAGTATATCCGAAGAGCGATAGGATGAACTAGTTTGTTAATATTTTGTGAGGAAGGAACATAAGCCTGAATGAGTAGATCATTCGGGAATGTAATCATTGAATTTTTTATCAATTACCTTGACTCCTTTCCGAATGATTTACTCATGAAGTGTATGTTCCTTCCTCACAAAATATTAACAAAGTAGTACGAAGTAGTTTAGACTAGGACAAACTAGTTCATCCTATCGCTCTTCGGATATACTGATTTAGCCTAGGAAAAACTAGTTTACCCTAAAATCGGGTTTGTCCGGTAACATATAGGTACTAGGTACATATGTATATACACCTTCTTTCATTCCGTCTGTTACAGGTCATTCTGAGATGTCATTTCGAAGTAAAAATAGCGTCTTGTGTGTGTGACAATTTGACGTCATTATAGCTTCTCTCAGACGTCAGTTTAGGACGCCCGCTTCGTTATTTAATGATTAAAAAATGACGTCAATTGGACGTCACTCTGCTACATGAAGCGAAAAAAAGTTCGTGAGATAATCAAATCCTGCTCATTTTTCAAAATTTAGGTGAAGCTATTCCATCTGTGTTGAACAATCATCCATTCATTCATTCAATCATTCAATCGTTTCTGAATTAACTGTTCATCACTATTAAAGATTCAAAATCACCGAATCCCTCTCAGTCACCATCGAAGCAAAAAAAAGTTTCTTAGTGAATCAAATTCCGGCTAATTTTCTGTTCAGTCTTCGATCTCAATTGTAGTGTAAGTGATCTTTCAAAAATTTAGAGGAAGCTATTCTATCAGTGCTGATCAATCATTCCATACCACATAGAAAAACTGAAGTCAGTCAATCTTCATGGAAACGAGAAAGAAAAAATGTCTACAACCCTTTACGAAAAGACGTCATTTTGTAAAAAAATACCTTCAGCGAAAACCTGATTTTTGTTGCAAGTGACAGAAATTCTCATAACGTTTTTCGTTCCTAGTGACGAACGGTAAATAAGTGACCAGTCAACAGAGATAAAATGTCAAACTTTTTTCCCTCACAGAAAAGTTATTCATACACCAAGGTAGTAAAAAATATAATTATTACCCAGGGATCAAAATTATATCCCGAGGCTTCAGCCGCGGGGTATAAGCTATAAGGTCCCGTGGTAATGTTCTTTAATACCAAGGTGTATATTGAATATTTTTCACCACTAGCAATTCCTTTCAATAATTATAGTTCTGTGAAACTGAAATATGGACCTATTGTCACTGTGAAAGCAATTCTGTTCAATTCTAATTGAAATCTTGTCAGTATTTCATAAAATGACGAAAACTACCTTGAAAGTAAAAACACACTTCACGCCCCGGAGGAGTAAATAATGATAGGTTCTACATCTAGTGGTGGAAAAAATATTATTATGATATAAACGGCGCTGTAGAAGAAGTATAGTGGTTCTTCCAAAACATTTTTTGAAGCTCCTGAACATTAGGGTCCCTTGATGGAAATTGACGTTAAAGTCATCTTAACAGGGTACGGACAGATCCTCGTCTCCTCTCACTCTAATGTGTTCGTGAAACAGTTATATAGTTCCATCCTTATTCAATTCTGGGGATAAACACTAGATTTTTGACATGTGTTGTTTTTTAGGTTATATTGAGGTCATTGGCGTATCATACGTAATTTCCATATGAAATTCCTGATTCAACTATACCAAGATATAGTTGAACAATCCTCTAGTTTTAGAATTCTTAGACTGAATACCAGGGTTGACTGAATTGACTGAGAATTCTGATTTCAAGCTGAGCACAGTAGTTTCACTATGAGCTGAATGAGCTGAGCCTAATGATTGAGAAATGGTGAAAACCTCGAACTACTGTACTCATGTCATGTGTGCTAAATATATTTTCGGAAATCCAACTCGGAGAAAAATTTATGGAGTGACTAATTCTAGGACGAAAAGTAGGCTTATAAAAAGTGATACGTGAAATTGCAGGAAAATGAAGAATATAATATACTTTACCCCCATGTTATACATATGATTTTTCCGTCTCCCATAAATAAAAAGTCATTTCCAAATAATTTAATGATGAAAGTAACAAAGAAGTAGGTATACAGTATAACTTATGGGCACGTTATTTTTACTCTTGCATCCTACATATTTTCAATTTGTGGTAGAGAAATAATTATATAAACTAATGTTAAAAGTGCAGCTTTGAGCACTGGTTATTTGAATACCACTAGAAGTGAGATCTGGAGCCAATGCACTTTTCGTGATATTTTCATAAAAAACTTCAGTGACCCACAATTTGGTTCGAAAAATTTTGCTATTTTGTGAGAGATTGCTGCACATACCCTTCAACGATAATCGTAGACTTCCAAGCAAGAATGCCTCCTCCAGAATTTGCAAGTAAACTTGCATGTTCAATTACGTGGGTTATATTGAGGACCTTGAAGGCCAAACAATGTGCTGCTCAGATCTAAAACTAAGTATCAATTTCAAATTTGAATCGTGAGACCTACATAGAATATGAATCTATGAAAAGTCTGGATATTGTTTTCGACATTCATAACTGGAACGCGATATATTTTTGTAATTCATCAATTCATCAACTATCTCAATGAAGACGAGACAGGCAGATAAACAACAATTTTCTCTGCAATGGAGAACACTGTATATACCTAACCCACCATGCGTCTACCTCCTTTGCAGAGAGGGTTTATAAACGCCGAGTTGATACTCTCCCCTCGTAAGGGTACCTGTCGTGTTTCCATAGAGACATAAAGGTGAATATCTGTCTTTATCTGTTTTCTTGAGATTATGGAAAAGATATCAATATATTGCCTTCCGTCTGAATATAATGATCTGAATTCTGTAGAGTATACTCTGGTCAGGACTCTTTGCGGATCTTCT